GAAAATTGTAGCTGTACCTTTATAGATCGTACATGCTTTGTTGCCCAAATTGCGTGATTAGGGCGCTAATCCATTACGAACCTGCAACGCTTCCCATCCATCGCACCGATATAGAGATCGGCGTTCTTTCTCGAACTTCGTGCTTTCTTCTTTCTCCTTCTTTGATCGCCCTGTCTCGCCAACGTCAGACTGCACAGTAGGTTAAGGCCTTAATTTTAGCGTTTCCCACGATTTCTCTTGTTTTCCTTTCCACTTCCAATTCATTCCGCAGCTCAGTCGTCACTACGATTCGCTCTTATACATTAGGTTCACTCCGGGGTTTGCCTTTAAAAGATTGCGCACACGTTCAAGGAGAGGTGACGCGTTCATTTGTAACTGCGATTGGGTGTGATGGAAAGTGTGCCAACAATGCTGTAGTTCGTAAGTGTCAGTGCAAAATAGTATGGTAGTGTAGAAATCTGTCAAAGGACCACAAGCGGGCGTGAATATAGTAAGTAGCCGCAAGTTTTCGAGCGCGTCAATGGCAATGCAAGTTCAAATTGTGTTAGAACCTAAAGCAGTGTTAACGGATTTGACGAGAGAATTGTTCAAAGTTTAAGCTGTAAGAAGTGAGCCATATCTTGAATTATTATAAGATCTCTGTTTACTTTCTGAGAAGCTCTGAAAGCTTCATGGAAGCCATTTCTAGAAATACACGACAGCGTGAGATTTTCATAGTGTTCAAGAGAACATTTCTGTGCATACCTGCAAAAGTAGTAACTTCAGCATTTGTCGATGCAGCTTGCGTAATGCATTACTGAACGTTCCTTTCTTGAGAGTGACATCAATTTGTACCGCAGAATAGATCACAACGGTTGCCAGCAGCGCCAACACCACTAGCAGGTCAACGAATAACGTTAGGTTGATTGCAGTAATACTAAACTGAAAATTTTTTTATCAAATATTGGCAAAGAGCGTGCTGGAGTCTGAAAAGGAAAACGGGAAAAAAGAGGCGAAGAGCATAAGTATTTCGGGTTACAGGTATTTCGATTTCGAGAGGAATGTTTAATTACCGCAATTAGTACGATTAAATTATCCACGTGAACAGAGGGTAGGGGACCCAAAAAGGGAGTCCTTTCTCCCGTCCGCTATCACCGAACTTTTCGTCGCATTTAGTGTCGCTGTTGATGGAAGTTTTACTTCAAATAGTTTCAAGGCGTCCCCATATAGATAGAAGCAGATTCCCCTCCTGCCCTCAGCGTCCGTAGAATAATGTCGTCTTATATCACCGCGAGCTCGTATTAGCTCCAGCCTTAAGCTGTTTCATATTTTCTTTAATCGGTTTGCCAAATAATAGGCCCCAGATACAGTATCTGTATGCGAAATCCCTTCTGACCAAGGTTTAAGGTAAGGTTGCAATCGCTCAAGTTCGGCCTCATTGAGTTCGAATGGTACGCAGTTTCCCGTTTGAAAATCTTCTGATGTCGTCGTGGTAAGAAAGATATCACGAAGTTTTCTGATAGACGGAAGTGTAGTCTTTACTACTCAATTTAAAGTATTCGGTTTGAACTTAGCACGTGTAACTATTCCGTTCTGTATTTGTATTTGTATTCGAGTGACTCCCTTTTTTACTGCCCCTAATGTGTATTGGACTTATTGGATGGGTTTTGTGCTCGCTTAGAGAACAGGTCTTAATCGACTTCTATGGAATATGCTCTTCAATTATCACCTGAGTCATTCAGTTTGAATTTAACGAAGATTAGTCAACTGCTAGGGGAGTGACTTCCTCATTGTACCCCATCCCTCTTCTCACTTGTGTACGCATTTGTCCTGCACATCTCTAGTTTTATCATCGCCTTGGTGTAATGGAGACAAAGATGCTGCGCTGGACGGCTGGTGTCACGCGATTAGATCGCGTTCGAACGATGTCATACGGAACGCTTTGGTGTAGCTCCCATTGCTGATAAAATGCGCGAAGCTCGGCTTCGATGGTATGGCCACGTTCTTCGCGGAAATGATGACAGTGTTCGCAAGATCGGCCTCAACGTAGGCTCGATACGTTGCACACAGACTTGAAATTGTTAACATCCACCCCGACCAAGCATTTAATCGGGAAAAGTGGCGTCAACACATCAGAAAAGCGGACCCCGCCAACAAGCGGGACAAACGCTGAAGAATAAGGAGAAGAAGAAGGAGATGGAGCATCTGGTAGTATCGGTAGGGAAAATTGGTCAATAAGACTGTCGGAGGTCGGAAATCGAAAAAGGAAATCTATAGAATTCAATGAACCAACCTTCATGGAAAACTCTATATACGCGCATTCCGATAGATCCATTTCAAACGCGAGCGTGAAAAACTTGTTTATGTATTCAAAGAGCAACGTGGTTGGCCAGAGTGCGACTTTGACTATCACTATCCAGTTGAATATGACCGCAGCATTGAAAAGAATAACGATTAAGAGTCCTCTCGCCTTCGAGTAGCTTTGAAAAGTTCCACTTCTAAAACAATCATCGTTTTAATTGTTGCGTAATTTTGATAAAGTGCGCCAATCTTGGCCCTGCTGCATGAGATGATAACATGCACATTTTATGCCTAAAAAAATGCAGGCTTCACTGTGTTTGACGTGACTAGCTTACCCACGTGGTACCGTCTCTTCTATTCTGATGTGCATTCTTCTTACTCCAAGCTGACTGAAAAAACTCATCGTTTCAGCAAAGTCTGCCTTCTCGCTTCATTTTCTAGTATAAAAACTGCATCACTAACATGAGGTTGTGTGAAAAAATCAATTCTTCGAGTGGAAAAGAGTTCCCCACGAATCCTTTGTCGCGACTTGTACCGCGCCACAAGGACGGTAGAACCTTGAAAGGTGAGCCAATGAGAGCAGCTATAAGCTAATGGGCGAGATGCTCTTGTGCACATGCAACGTGAAATACGATGTAGCGGCAAAGTCAAATACGCCCTTAGAAGTGGAGCCCTTTTCTCCTGTCCAATTAGGGGTTGTTATTTTAGGTAACCTCATTTTCACTGAAATCAACTGTAAATCTCAGCAATGTACCATTTTTGGTGCGCAAATGCTGCATGCATTTTACTCACCTGCACAGTTGCAAATAACGATAAACGAAGCTGTTGGTAACAATCACCAGAGATCCGATATAGGCCACGCAGAACACTAATAATAGTAATTGACCGAATGGTGGCTTGCGGAGAGGCCCTAAGGCGACGAAAATGATGAAGTAGTCATTAATTGAAATAACCTGAGAGAAACGGAAATCTTCTGCGTTTCGCGTTGCTGGGGGAACACTGCCCTCAAAAAAGCCGTCTGTATGATTTGATTATATTACTTTCGCCACCCCTCATTTAAAACCACAAAAGGATAAACCCCTGGCTCAGCGTACAGTAATCATTTTTGTATTCAATGAACTCACAGGAACTAGAAGGTATGTGACATATCAGAATAGTTATGCATAAATCGCAGTCATCAGGAAGAGATACTTGGTAGGAGTAGGATTTTTTCTCAGAGTAAATCGAAAAGTAGACGTAAGCAAAAAAGGTACAGCAATGAAAAAGCCGACATCATTTGGCAGGCAACGTGAATCGCCTGATTCATTTCGGCAGTGGATGGAATATTAAAGCAGTACAAGTTTCAGTCTTGGCCTCCTTTCAGAGATAGTCTGGAACAGGGTTAATAAGCATAAGCATGAAGCAGATAAAGCCGTTTGCCGTTGATCAATCCCTTTTTGGGATGCGGCACGCATTCTACTTCCATTTGTACATTCGTAGTGGCGTTTGAATGCGATGTGGCCTATACAATGACTTGCGGGGGCCAGCCGATGTACAAGTCAGTGTTTTTATCCTCCCAGACAAGTCTGGTACCAATTAACCGACCCCGGAGGGATGGAAGGCTTGGTTGGCCTGGGCGACTCACGATCCAGGATGAATATCGGTCGAGTCATTTAGTCAGTCGGATTTGTTCATCGTAATGCGCGTGGCAAAAATAACACAGCGCAATCGATGAGAAAAATACAAATTATAATTTGACAAATCGAATTGCGTGTGATTTGGTCACAGTCGTCTTATATAGAGAGCGTCATAAATGAATGGTAGATGTTCTGTTACGAAATCAAATGCAGTGGAATAAAGACGTGGGTTTTCCAGCAGAGGTTTGAAAATGGGGTGGTCAAAATGGGCTCTCCACACCAATTAGGCATTATAAGATTTGTCTCCGAGTGCTCGTATTGAGGGCATACCTAAGTAAAAATCAGACTATGCCTGACAGAAAACAATGTCTTGGAACAAGCAGGCTTCGACGTGGAGAAAATCGCCGGTATTTATCGAAAGTAGAGGTAATTACCGCAAGATTGTCCCGTGCTTCAAAACAATTTCTGTTTTCCTGTTTTGTCTACTGTGTACAGTGTCCAGATGTAGAGCCTTTCTCTAAGTCAGTTATTATATATGAAAAATACGTAAATCAGACTTCATAAAGCTTCGATCTCTTGAAAACACGGCCATCAGCTACGTTCAAATATAATATGTATCTGCTAGAAAATGGCGTGCACGAATGTCTAAACCACTTATAATTTTAATCAAATGAAATTAAGTGGATTAATTCAGAGATTGGATTCTCGCGTTCAGATCGCCGCTTCATTCTCACTGAGTGACGCTGTGTATACAGAAATCAATCAGAGCAAAAATTCTCAAAATCTACTTTACCTTTGAGATGTCCCGTGATTTCTGTCCGCTTTTGTTCAAAATCAAACTTCTTCAAGTCAAATCAGTAGCATTGTGGAAGTTAGAATATCGAAGAATGTATCAAGGTTTTTAGCAAGGAGACTTCAGAAATTCAAGTCCGCAATGGGGTATTTGACTAGGAAATATATCCTAGGGCCAATAGTGAAAGGTTGTTCTTTTAAATTTCAGTCACACTACAGGACGTGGAGGGGAACGTCAGCGCTGTGTTTATCTCAGTCTCCTTTGCTGATAGGGCACTGAGCTAGTGGTTCAGTCGCAGCGACGAAAGCGGTACGAGCTGTAAAGGATAAGCTCATCCTGAACCTCCATCACATTTAACGAGGACCCTAGCGCCATGAACCGGAAATGCATTCAAGCGCTACCACTTGAGGACCTGCAAAACACATGGACAGCCAAAGTACCGCTGAGATACCTGTGGTCGATCAAGACTGAGAACTACGCGAGACCCTCTGCGAATCTCATTTTGAGATCGCACAGCTAGGACTTTCTCTGGTCGATTATCAGTGGAGATGAATCATGAGTTCACCACGACAACAACACGTGACCTGTTGATGGACCCCCAGCCCAGCCGGTGTCCGAGCCCTATGTTTGGGGGATACTGTTCTTGATTTGTTGGATTCACTGGATATCTAGTTGGAGACAGTTTTTTTCACTACATACATATTGCTTTACGCAGACAGGCTTTGCGAATGCCATCTTGGAATTGCTCCAGAGGTTGGTCGTCGCAGTGCGAGGTTACCGACGTAAACATATCAAAATTCCCTTCATCAATCTTCATCATAAACGCCCGTCATCACTTGCTTTGATTGCTCACCATGTTTAAGAGGAACTTAGCTGGACCACGATACCATATCCATTATACCAACATTAGCCCACCAAACTATCCCTTTCATAGCGCCTTAAAGCTGCAGCTACAAGAGGAAAAGACAAAGAGTACAAACACTTCAAGAACGGCCCCAACAGAAGCTACAGGGATGGGCAAAAATTACGGTAACAAGATAAAGTGTTCATGGAAAAGCAATGCGGCCAGGAAGACACACGTGGACACCAACAATGTATTCATAGGAAGTTACCAAACAGAATACAACATCGCCGCTGTCTGCGTTTATACCTGAGTGAAGTCATCTCGGGAA